AACTTCACCCGTTCTCCACGAGGCCTCAAAAATGGAGGCCAGTGGGCCTGAGAGAACCCTCACCAACTCTTGAAGTAGTCTCAGGTGTAATCAGTCAGGGCCCGGTGCCTTGTAACATCCAGTGCCCTGAGGAGCTCCTCAACTTCTAGGGGGATGACTCTAATCTGTGCCCCTAAGTCCCCAGCCTCTCTAATCTCTCCTGTCCTGCTTTGGGGAGAACACAGAGGCAAAATAGTCATTTAGCATCTGTGCCTGTTCCCTCACATCAGTCACTGGATCCTCTTCCTCCTTGTTAAGCAGTCCCACTACCTGCCTCCTCTTCCTCTTGCTATTTCCATGTTGATAGAAGCCCCTTTTGTTGCTCCTGATATTCCTGGCAAGTCTCAGCTTGTAATCAGCCTTAGCCTTGCGAAGAATCTTCCTGAAATGGGCCTCCTCCTCCCAGTATACCCTTCAGTCTATTTCCCCCAGAGCCCATTTCCTATGCAGGTTCCTCTTGCATCTAATCCCTCTAAGCACCTCCTTTCGCATCCATGGCGGCCTCTCCTCCGCCTCCCCACCTTACTGACTAGAGGTATCGTCAAGGCTCGCACCCTTATGTCCCTTTCTCCTCAACCATATCTGAGTGGAGCCCACACAGTTATATAAGTGTCCTTCCCAGGCAAGGAGAAGCAATGTGGGTTTGGGACTGGCGGTCTGAGGAAAGAGCTGGTGGGTTGAGAAGGCCAGGCAGTACTGCTGATGATGACCCCTCAAATCTCCATCTTTACATCATCAACCTGGCAGTCCTTGAAATTCTCATCCTCCAGTATTCCTGCCCTCTTTTTCTCCCGCTCATCACCACGTAGTCCCCACACACATCCTAGGTGAACCCCCAATGTAGCAAAGCCCATGGAGTTAGGGGGAAAATATTCACCCAACCTTCTGCCAGGCACAGCAGCAGCTTGGTAGGGAAGCAGGACTTGGTGGCCATCCAGCACCCATCAAGAGAACCAAGTGCTAACCTTCTGAGGCTTCAAACTAAGAAGCCCCCTGCACTGTGAAAATTTTTCAAGGGAGGTAGCTTTTTAATCTCACCCTCCACTGCTGAGAGGCTCTAACAGCAGAAAAGAGCCTGGGAAAGATACATCATGGACCAGTACACCAAGGACAGGCCCCAGTCAGGAATTCTGTATTGTGGCATGGCCTTCCGGGAGTACGATGCCCCAACTGGTGCCATGACTGGACTGTTGGGGACCTCCTGCCTGATGGATGCTGAGAAGTCACACAAGAAAGAAAGGTGCCATCTGGAGCTCCTCATCCAGTGGTCCTCAAGACACAAGGAAAGCGTGAAACTGAAGTGATTCCAGCATCTGTTGTCCATCCATCCACAGCAGGATTTTAATCTTGCTTCGGTACTGAAGGACTCTGAGTGACCAACAAGCACAAACGCGAAGGCTGGTTAGGATATTTTTATTTTACAATCATAAAATTGTAAATTTTAATCATAAAAATTGTAGCACTATTTATTATTGATTAAAAATATTTATGAGCCACCCTTGTACAGGGTGATGTACAATTTGATAAACAACTGCAAATTTAAAACTAGAAAACAGACTCAGAGGCTATCTAGCTGAAACTTCAATTCTGAGTCACATTTTTGCCACTGTGCCAAAAACTTACACACTCTGCTTTTTCCTTTCCTTTATTTGCAGATTAGTGCTTGCTTGTTCTTCCTTTTCACCACATGGGGGTGCATTTATACAAAGAAAAAATTCTCTCCAGGAGGAAATTTCTCTATAGAATGTCATGCATATTCATTCCTTAAGGCTGCAATCTTAACTCACCTACTAGAAGTAACTTCCACTGCTCAAGCTGAGACTTGCTTCTAAGTGAACACACTTGAGATCTTGCTGTCAGGCTGCAGTCTCAGCTGAAAGTACACTCCATTGAATTCACTGGCACATTGAAAGCAAGCAGACCCTTTTTTAACGAATCCTTATAATAGCATCTCTCCATATGTGTTTGACTTGAAGTTTCCACAAGACTCTTTGTTCTTTCTTGCTGCAACAGATGAATCCAGCTACAACTCTGGGAACTTTTCCAAGGGTTTCTCCAAACTGTTCCCATCCTAAAATAAAATTTTGGGGAAGCAAAAGCATTGCCTACCAAGGGGAGGGCATGACTTTCCACCCAGTTGCTCTGAGTGAGCAAATGTTTTACACAATGAAGACTATAAATATGTAAGGTGCAATCCTACACAAGTTTGGACACAGAACAGTCCTACAACTCCCAGTGTTCTTTTAGCCAACCATGCCAATTTTTTTTCCATTTTTGTCTAGACTTGCCTGTGACTGCACCCTGAGTTAAACTGTTCTACTTTCCGACTAATCCTGCCCTTCCTTTGTGCTCCGCTTCTCGGTGCCCCTCCTCTTCTGGCTGCCACCCTTAGCACAGAGGACTGTGAAAGAGTGTCAGTGCAATGGCAACGCGGAGAAAGTCTGGAGGAAAGCCAGGCATTTTTAAAGATGCCTTTATCAGCTATTGCTATGAAAGCAACCATAAGCTCTTTTTCTAAATACTCACGCACACACGCATATCCCAAACAGCCTTACATGCCACAGGCACGACAAAGAGAGAAGCCCTCTTGCTTAGGTCCCATTGAAATGAATGGGCATTCTGTAGGAGATGATCTCCACGGAACGTGCCCAAGTCCTCGAACCCTGTGGCTTCCATTGGTCCTCCCAGTGGAAAGAGGTGCATCACCACGCCATGTCTTTGTCACTTGCTGAGACCTCAGCAGCTTCTTCCAAGAACCCGGGCCTCTCAGATGGGGATCCGTCTGCAGTGAGAGCTGAAGCGTGGCCCAGAACCAGCCTACCTGCTCAGTGTGGTAGCCGGGCGTTTTTCTCAGTGCCACACCTGGGAGCAAAAGCCAGTCCGCACTTGAGCTGAGCCTCTGCCCACATCTTAGGTCTTCTTGATGTGCCTGGAAGCAAAGTGGCTTCCACTCATAAGACAAACAAAGCACTGTAGAAAACCTTTCCATGTGGTTCCATTTTTATTGTAACTAATTTAGCCGTAATGGAAATGACAACAGTAACAATAATTATAATGATTAAAAATTGTTCTTTGATTATTCCAGGTCCAGAGCATAGCTTGGGAGCCATGCCGAGGGCCTGGTCAACCTTTGACATTTTGCCTCTGCTTTCTTATTTGCGTTCTTCTATGCAGGGAAAACTAAGTCTGCAATTGGTTTGGAAAAGGCTGGTCGGCATCTTAAAACAACACCAGAGGTAACTGTCTAGAAAAAGGTTGTTGAAACCCTTTCAGCTCAGGAGACAAGTTCTGATGCAGATAAATTTGGGGAGGAGCACATTCCAGCTGGGTGCAAGGCCAAAGGGGAAAGCCACACTGCAAGCTAGAGAAGCAAGCTTGGGCCAGTTATGTGAAGCCAGCCCAGGGAAACAAGTAAACAGCTAGTGGACATCCCTGTCTATGGCCATGCTCTTGTTTGTTGTTGTTTTCATTTGTTCGTTTTTAACTGATATACACACATGGAAAGTGGAGGCGGGAAAGTGGGTCCTCCAGTTTAGACGCTTCTGCTTTCTGCTTCCACCCTCAGTCCTCCTTCTTTCATTCCTTGCTCTTGTCTCCCATTCCCAAGAGTCTCTGCTGTTGCTATGGCAGCCTGTTCCCCTGGCTTCCCCTCCGCTTTATTGCTACTCAGTAAATCCCCCTAAACCCACCTCTGGTGATGGAACATCTGCACCCCAAGCACTAGAGTGATGCAGGGACTGGAAGCACCCATTACAGAGTCCAGTAGTGGTCAACAACCAGAATACCCTGCATCAGATGCAGTCTGCTGAGAGCTGATATAAGGATTTTCCCCCTTCTCAGAGCATTGGAACCTTCCTTCCATTGAGTTGGTCTCTCATCCATCTAGCCCAGCACTGGCAACACAGGCTGGCAGTGGATTTCCAGGTGGGCAGGCAGAATTCTCCCTATCCCCACCTGGTGATGCCAGGAATTGAACCTGGGGCCTTCTACATGCAAAGCTCTACCACTGAACTATCCGTCCTCCCTGTAATGCAACAAGTCTTGTCCAATGCTCAGTGCCATATTTTCCACCCAGAGGGGTAACTGCACACGCCCAGGTTAGTTTAGGCAGCCCAGCCCAGCACAGCACAGGGAGAAAGGCCACACCTGTGAGGCCAGCAGGCCGATGTTTGTGTCCCAGGAGAGGGGACAGCTGGGGGTGTCCTGCCCTCCTTCCAGCACGGCCAGGGGCAAGCTGCACAGCTGCCGTGCCCAGCTGCTCACTCATTGGTTCACGGACTGGCGGATGGAAAGGATCTAGTACAAGTGGCTGTCACCATCTGAGAGGTTCCTCACGAGAGGCACCTGGCAGCCACCACAAGGTAAATGACCTTGCAGAGGCCGTTTCGGAGTGATTTTTCACCATGAGTCGTGGATCAAAGCCATTCAGTCTCAGCAGTCTCTGATGTCACCAAATCCACTCCTCGCGAATCCATTTCAGCTGCCGTGGTCACCAGCAAATTGCCAAAAAAGTGAAAACATGCACCAAAGTGTGGATAAAAGACACTGGTTTACGTATAATTGGGTGCGAATTGTAGGTATAGGTGCAGGTTTAGAAATACCCATGCTAGAAACACAGCAAATCCCACCACAGGGTGGAAAATGGTGGCCTTGACCCGCCTGCCATTTTGCTGCCCAGGTGCTTGCTGTGCGGCTGGCGCCATTTGGATGGCTCTTGATCTTTAAACTGGACTTAGATGGGACAACCCTTCAAACAGAGAATAATCCTCTGCTAAAGAGGACACCCAGGGACACACTCATTTCTACCAGTGTGGATCAGAGGCAAGAAGAGAGTTCTGGCACATCACTCAGTCCTCCACCCAAACCCACGAAGTCTTTCTTTCCCCAGATAACTGTCAGTGAAGGGCACGAGGAGGAAAGGACACGGGACCACTTGAGGCAGGGGTCCTGTCCCCACCCAGCTATGAGGAGGTTAAGGAAGAGGACCTCATGTTGGGTGGAAACCTGTTTTCCAACGGGGGCAGTGGAGGGGGCACAGAAGGCAGGGGGAGAGGGTGGCACCAGGCAGCCCTCCGCACCATTGCCCACAGATCAGTCCGGAAGTGCTTGAGCGAGAAGCAGTAGATCAGTGGGTCGATGCAACTGTTGAGGCTCAGAAGGGCCACACTGAGCATGTGCAGGTTGTCCAGGAACGACGGAGGGCTGCACCCCGAGCCAGACATCTGGTCAGCCACCCAGGGCACCAGGAAGAGGTGATAGGGGGCCACGCAGACCGCAAACACCAGCAGCATGCCCAGGACCAGGGCGCGGGCCCGCCGGCGGTGCCCACCTTGGCAGACACTGGCTGCAGCAGAGAGAGACCTCATGATGGACAGGTAGGCCCCCAGCACGACCAGGAAGGAGGCAGCAAACAGAAGCACCATGGCGTAGGCATAGCTCCTCCTCCCGGAGTATTGCTCAAAGCACTTCAGGTTGACGGATTCGGCCTGGTGCGTCTGCTGCGTAACCAGGGAGGGGACGGCACAGGCGAAGCACGACCCCCAGGCCACTGTGCAGGCCGCGAAGGCTCCCTGGGGCCTGTTCAGAGCCAGCTCCACCTTGGCAACGGTGCAGTAGCGGTTGAGGCTGATCAGCGTCATGAACGCGATGGCGCTGTAGGTGGCCAAGTAATAGGCAGCCCCAGCCAGGCGGCAGACGGGTTCCGGCAGCTCCCAGTGGCCCTCCGCCATGTAGTAAGGGATCCAGAACGGCAGGGTGAGGTTGAAGAAGATGTCTGCCAGGGTGAGGTTGATGAGGTAGATCCGGATAGCCTTCCTCACCCGCCCACTCTGGACGAAGACGAGCAGCGCCACCAGGTTGCCTGGCAACCCCACACACAAGACCAGGCAGTAGACAACTGGGACCAGGATGAACTGCACGGGGTCATTCAGCTGGCACCGGCCACCTGCCACGGAGGAGCTGTTCATCTCGGTGCTGCTGAAAGACAGGGAGGGAGGGAGCATCAGGCCACAGGACAACAGAAGTGGCGAGAAATGAGAGTGCCGGAGGAGGCAGCACGCTTGTCCGAGGGTTTCCACAGGTGGGCAGACGGGAGCAAGTGTGCCAGTCCATCCATAGAACAGTGGAGACAAACGGAGAGCACACCTCACAGGAGAAGGAACACTACCCATGAGCAGAAGCGTCGCGATCTGAACAATAATCTGATCTAAAATTAGTCCATCTACACCTCTTTACAACTAAAATTAACAGCTAGTCTAAAAACAGTCCATTTACACATCGTTACAATAAAAGGAGCATTGCACACACAAACAAAAATACACTTTTTTGGGTAGATGAACAGAGAAAAGCAACACATTTCCTGGTTGGGAGGGGCAAATGGTTTTAAGAGGTAGCCTTTCCTGATGTGGTGCCTTCTGGATGCTGGGAGCTGCAGTCCACCAGCTCCAGAGGGAAGGCTCTTTTAGAGTGTAGATGGTAAATGGCTGAACCAATGTATAGACTGAGAGCCAGAAACAGACAAGAGGGGGCACGCAAAAAGGCCAACACATTGGAGAAGTCCTGCCTCATGGAATTATATTCACACACACATGCTGGAAATCCCCAGCTAAGGCCAGAAAGCTCTAATCCAAGAAAAAACCCACTCAAATTCCAGAGGGTCTGCACTTCTCCTCCCAGTCATCCAAGTCTCTGGCTCCTCTTCTGAGGCTTGGAAGGGCCTTCCCTGCTGGAGAGGACAGCACAACTGCAAGGAGACAGCTCCCAGAGCTGCCACCCTTCACGGGAGACATGGATCCCGGCTCCAGCCAGCAGCTGCTGGGACTTAGCACCCAGTAGGTCTGGGTGCCCAGAATGGCTCCTCAGTTCACCTGTTCCAATCCCTGTCCCCGTTGCCAAGCCAGCGCACAGCTGACAAGAGCCGATGCTTCCTGACAGGCAATGCCTCCTTTTTTCTTCTTTCCCGCCCCCCCCCCCCTTCGGGCTGGGAGGCCATCCCACTTGGCCAGGAAAAGTCCAAGGCTTAGATCAGAAACTACCAAAGCTGGTGAGAAGTTCGTTTTCCTGAGGAAGTTTGGGGAAATGATGCTCTTGGATTTGTACTCCTGGAGGACAAATTCTAAGCAGATGCACATAGACAAAACACGTATGTTAAAAGAATTTCCTTCTGCTGCATAATTGCCATTCTTCTTGCTGCTGTGATTGTATTCCCCTTTCTGCCCAAACTGACTAACAACAACAGTACAGATTTAAAATTAAAATCCTTTGAAGACCCTCCTCAGTAAGTTAAGAAAGAGCCTCCTACATCAAGAGCACCCTACCCTCAGTGCCAGATGCTGGGAGATATTAGGCAGTTCCCGCTATGGTCCTCATCAAACCTCTGGTCAGCCACTGTATGAAAGAGGAGACTGGCCAATATGAGCCTTTGGTCTGATCAGCAGCAGGGCTCTTGGTGGGACCTCAGGCCCAGGAACAGATCTGGACCACTGGGGAGCCTGATCGCATCCACTCGGGCTCCCCAGAGAGCCATTCACCTTCCTCCAGTCCTGACCCCTTTCCCAATGCACTGGCCATTTGGAGATTCCACAGCTTTTGTGCTATTTTCTCCCATTCTAAAAGGCTGAACTGAGTCTCCCCAGACAAGAACTACTGCCGTTAAATGCTTTGGGGGAAATGTTCTGGCATTTTGGCCCTCCCCTTTTGCCTTCAAACCACCCCTGTTGTCATGAGAATATGACCCCCAAAGCATCTCCAAAACAGAATTCAATTCCCCTTATTCTGTGCAACCAAATCCAATCCAAAGGGGGAAATGCAAGAATGTGTTTTCCAATAGCTGAATCACTAGCAGAGGATTTAACTTTCACCAGGAAAAACACCAGGCTTTTCCTAATGTGCAGTGAATAAGGGAGGCAAGGAGTTTATTCATTTTTGTTATACGTTGTTTTTTTCTATGACCCCAGAAAAGGACCCCAAGGCAATTTGCAAAACACAGGATCACTAAACCAGACCAGAGAAGAACAAAGCCAAAGTTTCACCAAGCCACTCACCACAATCCCAAGATCCCCTTGCGAGTCAGGACCCACCAACTCAACCCCATCAGCATTTCAAGAGATTTGTCCCAGTAAACTCTTGTGGTTTATTGGTTGGGCTGGACTCCACCTTCATGGAACCCAAGATAACTTCCATAATCATACAGCTCTTCTCCTTTCTTTCTTTTTTTGAGGTGCTTGCAGTTCTGCCTATCCCAAACCAACAAGCCATGGTGATCTTTTACCATTGTTGGCATGCCGTGTTGTCTGAACCCAGTTGTGGTATTTCTCCATGGTTTGTTCTATGGTTTTTCCATACCACATGGCACAATCCACAATCCTCGAACCAAACACTCATCTAGAAGGAATGGCAACTACAGGAGCCACTATGGCCATTCAGGTTCTATGTGTGGACGAGTGAAGAAGCGACAGGCAACTCAAGCTGGCAGCAATGCCCCTTGGGATTGAATTTCAGGCACCGTGGCTCTTGCAATGCATGCCAGCAGTAGGAGGACTGAGTGAGGAGGATGGAAACCACTCGATCATCTGCCAGGTAGATCATGGTTGAAAAAACAAAAGCCCACAACTATTGTGACCACGCAGAATCACGGGCCATGTTGCTTCAAGGCAGCTACGGTGTACCTGTTCCATCTTTACTTTCTTAATGGATTTTTAAAGATATTACACAGTCCCTCATACAATTCCATGAATGAGACGGGGCCATTTCATGGCGAAAACCTCCTCTGCAAACAGCCTTACTTACACTGAACTGCATTTGCCATTTTCATGACCACTGGTCCAAGTTTGGAGGCTCCTTTGCGAGTTCTTTGCTTTCCCATTTGGTTTGAAGCCCTCACTTGCTATAAGAAAAGGCCAAGGGAGTTGGGTACATTTATCCTGGACAAAATACGATGATAATTTTATGAAATTGCTTCAAATATCTCATTTATGTCACAGATAGAAACTGTCACAATTTTCTATTGCTCAAGAGGGTGCATCATGAAATTCCAAGAAATACAATTTACGAGAAAGAGGATTTTGATTAAATGTTAAAATGCATTTCTTGATGACATGAGGGGTGCTGTTTAGCAGACGGCCTTGGAAAGAGGTGGAATTCCCATTCCAGAAATTTTAAAGCAGAAGTTTCAAAGCCACCCAGCACAGCTGCTGTGGCAGTGGCCTTCCTGCACCGGGAAGGGTTTGGAGAAGACGTCCTTCAAAGTCACTTCCAGCTTCTGTGATGGTCTCTCCCATGCATACATAATTTTCCCAGTTCCCAGCCCACTTTGTCTCCTACCAGAAGCCCACCAAGGGTGTTCCACCATGCAACCTTCTCGCCTTGGTCACAGGGTTCCACAGAGCTTCTAAGCATCATCTTGTACCCCTTTCCTATAACTTTTGTCCTTTTTCCTTCCGCAAAAACATCTCATTCGGTAGGAAAAGACGGAAGACTCCACAGTGTCTTTTGAATGGCCGCTGCTGGGAGCGGTCCACCTGGAAGCACCCTGAGAGGCACGTTGCCTCTGCAGCACCCAGACTGCCAGGGCCTACGTCCAGCAGGGGGACAGTCGGGGGCACCCACCAAGGGCGGCTGAGAGTGGGTCCCCGGAGCGGTTCTTCCTCAGCACTGCTGCAGCCCACTTCTTCACCCACCTTTTGCTCCTCTCCAGAGGGCGTAGCAGCTGGAAACAACGGCAGTGAGAAGGCAGACTTGTGGAGGGAGGGGGTCCCTGTGAGCATCATTCAAGGGGCCCTCCAACACCTGGAGCCCCCACTGGCAGCTGCATTGGTCTTTGCTACGTGAAGCGGGAGGCCCACATTTCCCCACTTGCTGGGAGCCGCTGCTCATGGCAGCACTGGGGGGTGGGCCTTATTTATTTATTTATTTATTTATTTATTTATTTATTTATTTATTTATTTATTATTTAGACAGCTTATATGCCGCCCCCTTTGCATAAGCCTCGGGGCAGCCTACAATCATTAAAATCCTGCGTATAAATACCAAAAAAAAAAAAAGTAGAATAAATACATAAAATAGTGGAAACAGCCTCCAAGTACCCCTTTTTTGCACAGACCATCATCCAAAGTTAGGCCCAATTTCCATATGATGCAGATTCTTTCTTTCTGCGGTGGACCAAGGCCCGAGTGCTTTCATCAGTTACTCAGTACCTCCAGTTGTTCAGAGTAACCTTCACTAAGATGGTGATCCCCACATGTTTGGATTGCACAGCCATCATGACCAATGGTGACAGATGCTGGGAGTTGTAGTAGAAGGGACAGGGAAGCCTGGTGTAGCAGCCCCTCGGATAATAACTCACTTGTTCATAAACAGCAACCTGCAACACAAAAACTCTTACTGTTCAGGATAAGAGGAAGGCTGAGCATGCACGAAGAGCCAGTATGGTGTCCTGGTTAAGAGCGATTGACTGGGACTCAGGAGATTCGGGTTCAGGTCAACTCATCCATGGAGTTGATGGGACGACTTTGGGTCAGTCAAAGATTTTATTTTATTTTTTTTTAAATGCTGGCAACTTGAGCAGACGTCCGGCACAAAACAATTTGGAGGAAAGGTCTGAAATACTTCTTCGATAGAAATGGGTCCTAAATCCATTCAGTCTCACTCTTTCCTAGCCAGTGCAGCCAGAATCCCCTGGAGAGCAGCCATGTGCCTTGAAGCAAGGCCACCTGTTTCCAGCAAGAGCCTGCCGTTGGCCAGCTCAGCCTCACGACGTCGACTGGCAACCCACTCAAATGTCAGAAAAGGCAGCTACAAAACGACTGTCATTTTCTGTGGTCACAACTGAGTCATTTTGCGCCAGCTGGAGGATATGCTCCAGGGATAAAGCAGGCAGGTGGGAAACAGTTGTCATTATAATCATAAAAGAAGTAAGACCCGGCTTTGGTTGCAAAGGAGTAGCTAGGAAGGAGAGGGGCTGGGTTTC